GCCATGGTATTAAAGCCACTTTAGTGACTTAAGAATACCCCTTTCTCTTAAGGTCTATAGCCTCAATTCTATCTCTTAAGTCCCTTTGTGTAACAGATTCACAGTGTTCAGGCATAAGAACAGGAGCAACTTGGGGGAGCCATTATCTTATCTAGCAGAGTCACCCTCATTCTCTTGTAATTTCAAGGTCTTATTCCATCTGTCCTTATTTAACGCTACAAAATGCAAGAAGCAGTTATCTCTTGATTCTCACATATCTACCAGATATAAGAATTTCTGAACTATTATGATTTTAAGACTAATATAATGTGCAGACCTAGTTTCCATCTATATGTCATGTAGGCATGATACACCAATTCTAAAACCACACGAAGAATCTCAGAGCCAGTCAGATTTCAGGCCAAAACTGGTGCATGCCAGACCAGAGTCTTTCTCTGGCTCATATAAAATGGCATCCAAGGTTAAAACTGGGGTCATTAGCTATTCCCAAAGGGAAACTTAAAGAGTCCAGGACTCTGAAAACTGACTTGGAGTGTAGAGTGAGCTATAAAGTACAAGTTCCTCATTTATTCTTTCTGGATAAAGTTGAGGAAATAATTTAGAGGTTGATACATCATATTCCAGACTATTCTCTCTTTAAATGTCAGATGGAAAGGGAAGGGAAGGGAAAGGAAGGGGAAGGGAAGGGGAAGGGAAGGAAAGGAGGTAGCAATTGTCTCTCAATGAAAATAAGGAGGTTAAGGTACCATCCAAATTATCTAAGTGAAGGTAGGAGAGAACCACCTAATGGGTATCCTTCTCCTGGAGGGATTGATTTTGAAGGCAAACTCTTTCGTGAGCTCTCTTTTTCTTCCTGTGCTCAAGGGAAGAGAGCCATTCTGTGTAAGTTTCAGAGAGATAAGTACCTTGTCTGTCCTGTTTCCTTTATCCCTAGCTGTCACAGTACTATTTTTCACTGAGTATGCCACAGACGCACATTTGAACAAATATATTAGAAGATGGAAGGATTGGTTGAGATGAATTCAAGCACTCTTTTATCCTACACACACACAGACACACATACATACTCACACAAACACACACCCAGAAAAACTACATGGTTGTTAAAACTTGTGCCTTAGAATTAGATAAGAGTTCAGGTCTCAGTCTTATCATTAATCTGAACATGTGTCCCCTAGGACCTGACTTGGCCTGTTAGCTGAAGCCAGAGATAACTACTTAAGTTTTTGAAGCTCCACTGAAATAGTAAGTGGAAGGTGCTTAGCAAAGTCCCTAGCAGTGTTCATATCAGTTCTTAATGTTAGCACAACCCTTCTACTGCTTCCAGAATAGCCTTCATATTTAATGCCCACCACTTACTTCTGCTCTGTAGAATTTCTCTCTCGGTAGAATTTCATGAACAGGTCTAGGCACGCGCAAGGTCACATATAACTTAGGGGCATGAGCCCATGTTAGTGCCTTCTTTTCAATGACACAAATTCTCTTCATTTTAGAATTTTGAAATGATGATTAAGTCTGCTTTGTATTTCTCACATACAAGTGCCTCACATAGGACTTGGGAAAACAAACTTCATATATTTCGGAGGCAGGAGAGTTATGGTTGGATGGATGGATGGATGGATGGGATGGATGGATGAATGTGTGGATGAATGGATGGATGAATGGATGGATAAATGGATGGGTAGATAGATGGAAAATAAACTGTGTTCCCTGGCAGCTCCTTGGGAATTTGTTAACTTGATACCCACAACTGATCTGGTACCTTACCTGCAGTGGGAGCTCACTAAACGTTAGTTGGAGAGGAATAAAGGAGACAGAAGATGAGAGAGATAATCAAGAGCCCTTTCCACCTGGAACCACTCTCCTTTCAGGGCATCCTGTTGATCAGCATTATTGAGCAGAGAGGCAGGGAGTTGACAGCCACTCTCTGGACTCTCTCCCAGGGCCTTTTTAAAACAGGGAAGTTAATTATGGAACCAGATTAACAGTTTCTTTTTTGATACAGTCAAAGTAAAACCAGCAGGATGCAATTTAGCTCGTCCCCACTTTCCAAATAGCAGCAAATTTTCATACAAAACAAAGAGACACTTGAATTGCAAATTACTTCGAGAATCAGCTACCAACCCCAACGGAAGAATATTTCTGCTACTTTCAAAGCTAGGCTATTGCCTTTTCAGGTTTAACTGTGTATAAGCATCTTCACAAAGGCCTGCACACTTTGCTGCTTCCCAGCTTAGCCCACAGGCAGGAGGAGCGATTCCTTAAGGTTTAGTAGAATTCTTCAAGTCATCTCTGACACACAGCATCACACTCTTCACATAAAAGGAGGCTCATGAGGTGCATCTCATTCAAGGGCATCAAGAGAAAATCTCATAAGGCAAGGCAGAGACACAGTGACTATGACAAATAGTGAGATGTTGTATGTGCTGTTGGGGATGAGTAGAGAATGCAAGAAGCCACGAGCCCTGTCACTGTTACGCAGAAATTTGGAAAAGGCACTGTTGAATTGTCAAAAAGTCCTAAAAGTTCTGTAATCTGGATTATTAATTGATACATTGCCATTAGTGGCTTCATTTAATCAACACAAGAAAAAAATAGGACCCAATACCTGAATATAACCCACGGATCACCAGCTCATAACGTGTGACCTAGCACCATTTCTTTATCTGATAGACTGGGAACTAAAATCAAGTAAGGAGGATAATTTAGGAAAGATCACAATGACCAACTCTTCCGGTGTCCCCTGTATTGCCTGGTAGATGGTACCGCAGCTTTCATCTGCTTTCCGCGCCCTGAAGAAAACAGCAAAGCTTTATGTTCACAGATGTACTTATAACACCATTTTTTTTCTAATCTAATAAATAATGTATGCTTTTCGAAGGGGATTTAGACAATAGAGCAAGGATAAGGGGGGAAAAAAGTAAAAGGAAGCCACACAGTGTTATTTATGGAAAGACTGGAGGCTGAGACCTGAACCGGGCTGTACCCAAGCTGCTTTTGGATACAGGCAAAATGGACTTGGCGGACGTTGACCACCACTGTGCTTATAGTTAGCCCGGCAGGTGGCAGAAGTGAGCAAAGGCGCCCACAGAGGGGAGAAGGCGAGATTACAGACAACACTCACATTCACCCTGTGTCATCATGTGGGAAAGAAGAACTCTATAAACAGCTCTTTCCAAGCTTTTTTAAATGTGAAATCAAAAATCTTCTAGTGTAAAACATTTCAATATTTAAACATAGATCAATTTTTTTTTTTAAATATGAGCCAAATAAAGTTCATCAAGTTGTAGGGCTAGGCTGGTTTCTATTTCGTTGTTTGTTTGTTTGTTTGTTTGTTTGTTTTTCAAAACAGAATTTCTCTGTGCTGCCTTGGCTGTCCTGGACTCACTTTATAGACCAGGCTGGCCTCCCCGAACTCACAGAGACCTGCCTGCCTCTGCCTCCCTGAGTGCTGGGATTAAAAGTGTTCTCTACCGCGCCTGGCTTTGGGGATGGTCTCTTTGTGACTCTTACTTAGTGACTCACAGTGAGTAAATTGGACCCTGGGAAGGTCAGTCAGAGTGATGGAGAAAATGAAGACACAACGTGGGCTTGGGTGAGCAGTCACCTGGGGAGAGACAACCACAGTCAACTAGAGCCAGACTACATCTGCCCAGATCTTTCCAGAAGAAGATCTACTTACACTAAAGCCCTCATTCCTGCGAGGGCGGAGCATGGTGTGTGTACACATCTGTGTATACATGTGTGTGTGCATTTGCCTCCGTGTGTAGACACAGGTGTATGTATGTTTGTATTTGTGTGTGTGTGTGTGTGTGTGTGTGTGTGTGTGTGTGTACATATATACAATTTTTGCCATCTTAGAATGATGTGGGGAGCCTCCTCAGTGCTTTGCAGGACCGCTCTGCTTCCTCCAAAGCAAAAAGTTTTTAAAATCCTTTTAGTGGAAATAGAATTACATCACTTCCTTCTTCCTCTTCTTACCTTAGGCCCTCCCATGGCCCCTACTCTCAAGCTGATAACCTTTTTCTTCGATTATTATTTTACATATATGTATCTGTGTGTACATAAATATTTATAAATAGATTCTGCAGAGTCTCTTGTTGTATGTGTTGCTTTGGGTTCAAGGCTGATCAATTATGTATGTGTGTGCATAAATATTCATAAATAGATTCTGCTGAGACTGTTTTGTCGTATGGTTTTAAGGCTTTATTGCATGGTTTCACTTTGCATTGGACAACCAAAAACTATGCTCATGCTCCAGAAAGGCTGGTTCCCCCTCTCCCAGCAGTCATTAATTGCCTGTAGTTCTTTGTTTACAGGTAGGAATTTCCTACATGAGATGGCATTTTCCAGTGAAATTCCCCCATAAAATTTCTCCCCTAACATGTTAGCATGTGTATTGATATCGCCATAGTTCTGGTCTTTTTTTTTTATGCAGTCATTTCTAGGAGAAACTTTTTCACTGTAAAACATACACATATACACAGAGAGAGAGAGAGAAACAGAGAGACAGAGAGAGAGAAACAGAAAGAAAGAGAAGTGCTAGATACGTATCTTTTCCACATCTAGCCTCACAGAAAAATACCTCCGCTTTTTCCCCCCACATTTTCAGCACAAGCTTAAGGTCTTACTTTCATTAACTGGGGTAAAATCTCATCCTCTTTCTGATCCAGTCTATGTGGCAAAATTGAAATTCACCAAGAGGTTGGACCAAGATGTGTCCCATGGAATGAAAAGGCATTTCGATTGACATCCAAGGGAACATGGAACATCATTTGTATTCTGCATGTTGGCAGATAAAACAGTAGACCTGATTCCCTGGTTGGAGCAAACCATTGCCATTGAAGCAGCTTCCTGGGAAAATGTCCAGCTTGCTTATGGAGTTTATTTGGAGCTGGAGTCGTCCAGCTGGAATGGAAAGGGCAAAATACTTAATTACTGCCTGATGTCAAAATGAGATTGCACATTTTATATTTATTTTTTTCTCTTGTGTCTTTCAGCCTCACAGTGGCAGGAAGATCATGACTGACTAGAGAAACTTGTTCCAGTGAAAGCAAAAGTCTGAATTGTGAGTAGTTCTTACTGGTTGGCCATACAAAATGGACTCTCCTAGTGCTAAAAGGAGCTTCACTAAACTGCAATTGTTTCCTTCAGTACACTTGAGCAAGTATCAGCTGATCTCGTTGGTAAATCAGATAGCAAATATATGGCTCACATTTCTCGGCAATGTTTACATATGTATAAACATAAACACATGTACACATACTGAGCAATTAAGGAACTATCACAGAATATATCATTAAGATGTGTTCTTGTCTGTAAATAACAGAAAATACAGGTTCAATAAGGCTTAAGTAATATTTTTAAGTTATTTACTTATATAGTCTTAAGATGGAGCAAGTCTATGGAGAGAGTGGAGACAAGTAACATTGCCCAAGACCAGGTTCTGACTTCAGCCGAATATCTCTTCCATGTCTCTCTTTGTATGCACTTTCTAGAAAGCCCCCCCAGCAAATGTCTACTCCTGTTCATTTGCCTGAATGTGTCACATGCACTCATGACAGAACATGTGGAACTACCCACCATGATTGTCTTAGACCAGTCATTAGCGTTGCTGGGTCTAGAGATGATGCCTCTGAAATGCCAGACTCTTCTGGAGCAAAGCAGAGATGTAAACAAATCAATATCTTATTAGAAGGAAGACAAGAGGCTGAATGTTCATTCTCAAAACCGTTGGCAGCGTTTGTGGTACAGTAAGGCAATACAAGTTTCATCAGTCCCTCCTCTAAGGCCAAGCTAATGAAAATATCCACTTTCAAAATTTCCCATTATGGCTGAAGAATGACTAACACAGCCTTGACCAACCTCCCCTCAAATTACAGGTGAAGTTAAGAAAAGAACAGAAATACTTTGATTCTAGACATAAAAAAAAACCCAAGTCACTATCATTATACCATAGGCAGACCATTTCTTTAATTTGCATAATTATAAACTCCCCCTCAAAGAGTAAACATTGCTGCCAACTTAAAAAAAAAAAAAAAAAAAAACTACAAAGCAGCATTAAATATGCATTGCTAATTTGACTTTCTAATTTGTCTGGGATCTTCACAAAGACATGAACAGCTCCAGAGATACTGGATGCTTAATAAAACATCCCACCTGTCAGAAAAGAAGTACTGGGGAGAAAAAAGCTAAATATCAAGGTTGGTGTGGGAATGGGGATTAGCTAAAGCATTTCAGTTGGTACCAGAGAATTACCTGTAGGAGTTGACTGTATTAACGTGACTCTCAAATCTATTCTGTGCATTAACTCCCCTCGACAAACACAGGTGATTGCTTTGCATAGCCAAAGAAAATAACATTTTCTTAATATGTTCCTATTCAGTTTTAAATGTCAGAGATGAGCTGGAGGTATATTTGGGCAATTATAGAAAGTAGTTGGATTGGTACATAAAAACTTTACTGTTGTCCAAATCACATGTATTGATCTATCTCAAACATCCAGGACAAGCCCTGAACTGGGTCTTAAAGCCCCCCAACTAATCATAAATATGATACCTGGGCAAGATGAAATATTTACCTGTTACTATATTTTTTTAACTTAAGTTCTGCAGCTGGTGATAATGATAATGAGGATAAAAGATATAGATTTATATGTACATAAGAGTTGCTGAAGTTTCATTACAGATTACATATTTAAGATATGTATTTATACATAACAACATATGTGTATTTACTATAATAACAGCTACTTAAACTGTGTGTCATAGATATCTTCCCTTTTCGGGGTCTGTATATGTGTTTCGTGTATACACATCATTTTTACTGTGGATCAGCACTGCATCCAGGTATTAATGGCAATCTCTTCATTCAATCCCTTGTTTAAAAACACTTGTTATTTTAAGTTATATCATAACATTCCCTCACAAATATTTCTCAACACATACAGTTATTGCTTTGGTGATATTTCAGGGTCTATGAGTGGCCCCCTGACTGGATCAAGGGAAGAGTTAGACTCATGACACTGTCCCTGGGCTACCAGAACAGAGACCTTCTGAATATGCTTGTCAGGCCATGGGCTCCTGTTGAAGAAAGGAAAGGTAACATGATAGGAAGAAGAGAAAGGAGACAAAACATGCCTATGGCACTGAGGAGATCGCTGTTATGGCAAGCAATAATCACCATTGTTCATGTGTTTCCCTAAAAAGTCTCAGTCCTCTCTCTAGACTACAAACCTGCTGCAATCAGGAGCAGGCTCTATGCTCCTTGTAGCTTACCAGTATGCAGCAGGCGCCCACTATATGTATACTAGTGTATGTATGCACTTGGAGAATAAAAGATGAGTCAAATATTTAGAATAAACTCTATGAGAAATTAAAGAAACATTAGCCAAGAAGATACACTGCACTGAGGTATGAATCATAAGTTCAGAGGCTCCTCAGCGTGCCAACCGCTACTGTTTGCTGGTTAATCTTCACCATGACCTCTTACAATGAATCCTTCTATTACAAGTGATGGAGCAAGCATGGGACATGGAGTCTCTTATTCAAGGGAGCACAATGAAGATAGGCAGCGCTGGCATTTAGACAAAGGTCTGTCTGACTTTAAAACAGATTCATCATTTTTTTAAATCCCTAAGAGTAGGTTTCAAGTGTTAACTTTGCAAAAAGACTACAAATGCATGAGGAAATATTTATGCTGATACATTAGCTCTACTTAGCTGTTCCACAGTGTATACACATTTGAGAACAATGTATTATTCATTTTATATATGCTGCTTGCAATTGTTAATTTAAAAAATAAGCTTTATTCAAAGTGGGTTCTAAGATTCTATCTGAGCTTTCCAGAAAAATGATTTTGTGATTGGTAATAGCCACCATGTATATAGGATATAATAATATACGCCATGTATTTATTTTCTATTTATTTTTACTAGATTTATATATTTATTCTTAATATTTAACATTTTATATAGTTACTTTTTCATATTTAACTTTTTACTGATCCTTTGTAGATATCACATCATGCACCCCCTTCACACTCATCCCCTCATCCCTTTGTACCCACCCTCTACCCTTGCAAGCTCTCCACAGAAGAAAAACAAATCTCATTGAGAAAGCTGTCTGTCTCAGTATGTCCCACAGTATAACCTTTTGTCCACACTTCTTTGCTGGCAAATGTTCATTGGTCGTTGGCCTGGCTCATGGCCACTGGCTTCCGCTACAGTATCAATACTGGATCCTCACTGGGACTCCTCTCAGATGTCCTGTTGTTGCCCTGTGTCATGGAGATCCTGCAGCTTTAGATCTATAGGACTGGCCCCTTCTCTTGCTCCAGCAGGTCATGGATGGGATAGATGTTGGGGTGAGCCAGCTCAAAACCCTGAATCTGGGCGTGGGTAATAGCTGAGCTGGTCAGCCCACCACCAGCTTTCTGGGCACCTCACCCGCTAGGGTGAGCTTTCCAGCACTGCCCTCGCTTGCTCACCCATTGCTGCGGCTGGCCAACAGGCAGAGCCAACTTTCCTACTGTCATAGCCCCAGGGCCAGCTCTCCTGCCCTCAGCAGGTGGTGAAGGGAGGTGGAGGGCATCTGTCCCTCATCTCTATCACCACACAGCAGAGGAGTCACAGGGTCAGCTCGCCCATGCTCATACCTTCAGGGCTAGCTCTCCACAACCAAGGCCAGCTCTACTGTACTTACAGTAAGGAGCTGGGCTTGATCTCCTGAGTACTGCAGCTGGTGAGGGGTGGGGCCAGCTTTCCCACAATGCCGAGGAAAGGAGTAGGGCCAGTTCTGCACAGCCCTCAGACATCAACATGGCCAGAGGTGATAGCCCAAACCAGGGATGCCCACCTAGACCTTGGTGGTAACAGATCCCAACTGCTACAAAGCCATGGAGCCAGACATGGCCCATAGTGACAGCGCTGGTCAGGACCTCACCATGGATTTAGGTGCCATCACCAGCTACTCACGTCAGGTGGTTTCTCACACCCTCCACTCCCATCTCTCTTCATTTCGTGCACATCCTTCTGTTCTCCCATCTCTCCACCGTTTACTTGCTCATCTCTGTGGCACCCCCATCCTTTGGGGGTTTGGAGTTGTCTCAGGAGCTCAGGAGTGCTATATTCAGCCCATGCCATGTGGCACTGGGCAGGGATTGTCTCAAGCTTGCACTCCACATGGGCCCTGAGGAGGTTGTCTTAGGTGTGGTCTGACTGTCTGGACCTCCTAGATCTATGCATTTCTATACATGTATGTGTGCTGTGGCTCAGAGGACAGAGGACAATTTGTAGGATTTGGCTCTCACCTTCCAATATGTAGGTCCCACAGACTAAACTAAAGTCATTGGTTTTTATCCACTGGGACATCGAGCTGTCTTTCTGTCTATACTGGCTGGTTTTGTATCAACTTGACACAAACTAGAGTCATCAAAGAGGAAGGAACCTCAATTGAGAAAACGCCTCTATAAGCTCTCGCTGTAAGGGATTTTCTTAATTAGTGATCATCGGTGGTGCCATCCCTGGGCAGGTAGTCCTGGGTTATTTAAGACAGCGGCCGAGCAAGCCAGTATGCAGCACTCCTCCATGGCCTCTGCATTAGCTCCCACCGCCAGGTTCCTGCTTTGCTTGAGTTCTTGTCCTGACTGCCTTTGGTGATTAATAGCAATGCATATAAGCTCAATAAACCCTTTCCTCCCCAACTTGCTTTTTGCTCATGGTGTTTTACTGCAGCAATAGAAACCCTAACTGCGACCCTGTCATATAATGTTTCATAATGAGGTACGTGGTTACATTAGTTAGCTATTACTACTTAGCAGAGTACTTAACTGCCATGTTAAGTACTTTACTTTAAGGGATAGTATGTATAATCTCACAGTGGAATGTAGGTTAATAATCCCTGAGCAGATTTTCTGGTTTCCATGATTCAGGCAATAAGCACAGTATCAGCCAATAGTGGTATCAGCCAATGACTGAAGGTAGATCCCCTCCCAGGGGATCTGCTCATGATTATCATACTACTTATTGGTCACAATGAGCTCCTGGAGCCCTGATACACTACAGGTCTC